TCATATAAAATGGTATTTAAATATATGTATTTTTGACGTGGAGTCATGCATGTCGTAATTACAAATCAGGATCATTTGAACAAACTTTATGAACTAAAATATTATCTCAAATTATGTAACATTTCATAACTCGTTTCATAACTTCTTTTACTCAGTTCTGAATTTTAAAATTAATAAACTACACACTTTTATGAAACGAACCTCGTGTTGCGATGAAATTCAAGATAGCACGAAATATTATGCATCTACTAGATCATTTGAAAATCAGATTTCTCACAGATCAGATTACTCTACGGATTTGTTTTTTTTTTTTCATTTTTCTTTTTTACTAAACTGTAAGTTTTCTAAGTGAAAACATTGTAAATTGCAAAAAAATATTTATTGTCTATTTGAACATTTTTTTTTTTCAAAACAAAATTGTGCGATTTGAACTGAAGTTAAGTTACATTGAAAAGTAAACACTAAGAAGAAAATTGACATTCAAAATGTGTTAATATTGAAATGACATAAAAAATCAATGAGAATGTATTTCAAGTGACGTGTATGTTTTGATTTCTTTTTTAAGGAGTTCATTGTCCAAAGTTAATACACACCGTAATACAAATGTATAACAATATTTGTTAAAGTAAAATTCGATTAATCATCGAATTTTTTTAGTTGCGAATCCTTTGATACAATTATTAAGCATCCTGTATATATATGAACAGAATAAATAAATTTCGTACGAAAGCAAATTAATACAATTCAATATTTCGTGTGTTACATGAACAAAATAATAGAATAAGATTCAGCATTTTGTTGTTGTTTAAAGTAGATCGATCATAGAACAGATAGAACAAATTGTTGAATTGTATAACATTTGATATAGTTAATTCACATAAACATTAAAGAAAAGCTGGACGATGTACGTGTTCGTCATCGCTAGGAACTTATTTTTTAAGCACGATAAATATCGTCAGTTATTTATTTAATGCATCGTAACTGTGTATACGTGAATGTCGTTATAGTTTGTTGCGTGTAGATTAAATGTTTGATTAGTGAAATTTTCATAATCGGGGCATATTTATTGTCGAAGTATATACGGCTAGCATACACGGGAAAACAACTCCTAAAATTCGGAAAAATCATTCATTCTATCAAGCAATATAAAATATAAAAGGAAATCTTCCACTTCTAAATTTCATAAGAAAAAAATTCCATGGCAAAATAATAAGTATAAATGTACATCACAAGTGAGTAAATTTCCTTTTCTTTCATATTTTGTCCAATAAACGCCAATATTAATCAACACAATATTTCCATTAAAATGACGATTACAATAATTATTCTTGCAATAAGTAATATAATCAATCTGATGAGTAGTTCTTTCGACACATTTCGGGCTTAGCCTCTACATTGTTTTTTTTTTTTTTTTAATAATCGCTGCAGCTATTACTATTACTACAACTACCAATAATAATAATAGTACTGCTAGTATTAATAATAATATTAACTAGAAAAGAATCTTAATAATTTATATAGAAAATGTACAAGAAAATCTACATTCAACGTACGCGTATATATTTTTTTTTTATAAATGTGATTAATTCGCGATAACAGAATGAGAGGAGAATAAATAAATAAAAAAAGGAGGGGTGTGTGAGAAAGATGGGAAGTCCGAGGGGGCGAGGGAAAGACCGTACCATTTACAACGTTGTAAAATCTTATTCTAGTTGATGGTATATAATTGCAATAAGAGAGATGGAATATCGCAAATTTGCAGGAACAATTTGTAAACGCAAATATTTTCAAGTACACGATGTAACGAAATTCATGCTGTAGCCAAAAAAAAAAAAAAGAAAGAAAATATCATCGTATCTATGTTATTGTTTAGGACGAGATATAATTTAATTTGTAAAATATTTACTGTTGTTAATTATAACGATAAATTCTAGACAATGGTGAATATTAAAGCCACAATGTGTATTCTTCATTTTTATGTAAACTATATACAGGGTGTTCCTGTAATTCTGGTACAACCAGGCAAGGTGTGATTCTTTGTGAAAAAATGTGTCGAAATTGTAAAATAAAATTTTTGCATATGAAGCTCCGTATTTGAGAAAATTAATTTAATTGTTTATCGATATTTTTCATTCATATTATTGTTTACAGACTTGTGTTGTATATAAGTCTCTTTAATTTGTCAAAAAAGTCCTGTATGAATATTTATAACATATAAAAAAATGCAAATATTTGTTAGATTATTTAAATGACATCCCTATTAATGTCTGTATAAATTAATATAGATGAAAATAGTCCTTGGTAAAATAATATAAAACCAGTTGTACACAACAAATTTCCAAAATCAATTTTCTCAGAAACATTGTCTCACATTTCACAATTGCAATTTATTTTTTCACAAGGAATCACTTTCTTCCCAGTTGTACCTGTGATTACTGGGACACCTTGTACATCTCTATATTTTGTTACACATGAATATCATATAAATAAGAAAATGATAATGAAAATTTTCACTTCGTTCGGAGTTATATATATGTAACTTGAAGCTTACACAAATAAGTATTTAGTATACATGTACAGTCTATCAAGTATAATTATATTTGCACCTTCATCTGCAATGGCAGAACGGCAGTTATGTGTAAAACAAATGCTTGCTTCCCCTTTTTTTTTGTTCTTTTGTTTAGACACGATTTACATTGTATAATAAGTTTTACAAATATTTCCTTAGTTAAAGCTTTAGTTAAAATTAAAGAGAAATTGAAACATGGATTTGTTTTTTTTCGAGAAACAAAAATAATCGTTCCATGGTATTAATCGTTTTGTTTAAATCTGACAGTATTGCATGTTCTTCGAATTCGCAAAAATACCAGTAGTAACAAACGGTTAAAATTACATACATATTTATACGAAACGATGGGCTACAACTTACAACTGATATGCAATATAACTAATTCTAATTCACTATTCAATACTGCACATTCGATTCGTATCAATACATTTAATGGAATACATTCTTATCAACTTGTTTCCTATATTTTGAGCAAAAGGGACTAAAAATGTTAAATTTGTAAAAATGGAGTATATGTCACTATTCGAATTGCAACATAGCTTAAATATATTTTTAAACCAATTGAAGGTTCTTTTTTTTTTTTCTTTATAATTTATAATACGTAACTTTCCCATTTTCCTTATACGATTAAGCACTATTTCGATTTCTTTTGGTTTTGCGATAATAGCTTGAAGAGAAAAAAGGAAATATAAATTATAAAATTCATAAGAAATGTATATATTGATATAAATTCTAAGTCTAATTTAGTACAAGGTATTGCATTTTCAGTTCAATGAAATGCACATGAGAATTCCGCTTTATTAATGTACGATCGTTCCATTATTTCAATTTGACGAATATCATTATTTTACTGTACAAAAGTAAATCGTAAAATGATGAAAATTTTCGTTAAATAAACATTGTATAATACAGATTCGTGTACTTATTTTGCATATGTAGTATTGGAGATGATTAACAAATTATTATAATACGTACAGCGATGCATTTTATAAGAAATGATATGTTGGTTAGAAAAATTAATGTAAATTATTTTTAAAAAATCGTATGTATTAAATTTACAATTATATTTACGAAAATTATACAAAATAATGCGGAAATCGAATAATTTAAAATTGTACGAAATAATGTACAAATGTACAATGTACAACTTAATCTTAGAAATATGCGATTTTTAACATCACATAAACGGTTTTTATTGCTTTGTCGTGTTTTCCAAATTAATTTTTGTGCAATACAAATATACAAACGGAGAATTGACGATAAATGAAGGATTTTTTTAAAGATGTCATTATGCTTGCAACTGGGTAAGTTATATTATTCGTTGTAAAGTGTTACCAAGA